ACAGGGCTCGAAACAAAAGTGAGGCAGTATTATACATGATGTGCCCGGAGCAAGTTAGATTATTCCAGAATGATTGTAGGCCCTTAGCTTAATGAATAATCCTTTAAAAGCAAAGAAATAAACCCTGGAAGTTAAATTACAGTTTGATGAAATACTTGAAATGACCAAATTTCAGACTTAGTCACACTTCAGAGATATGGAATAGCTACAACTACCATTTCTTACACTGGTCCAGAATAATGTCTTCTTATTCTGTCCTCCCTCTAACTTGGAGTTTCTTAGGCTAAGCAACTTTTTCCATTAGTTCTGCAGGCATAATATGGTGGCTGCCACAGATGAAAGGGGGGTACTGAACACATTTTCATGCATCACTGGTCACAGCCTTAAAATTTTAGTCATTTCTATTTTCCCTACTCACCCAGTATTTTGGTTAAAATAACAAAACAGTAGTTAACATTTTAAAAATTTACTCATATTTCTTATATATTATAAATATTGACAATAGATTTCAAAGAAGGAAAAAAAATTAATAAGCTTTAATTCTTATCAGCCATTGAAAATGTAAATGTTGTTCTAACTCATTGAGGGTGTTTCCTAAATTCAAAGAGATGCAGAGACATACTATGGACTCACACTCATAGTGCTAGTACTTTGGTGGTTTAGAAAACCTTAATAAAACTGCCCTCCCAGAAAGCTCTCCCTGAATGGAAGAAGTGTTTAAGTACCATTTCAAGCTGACCAGACACAAGTCTTTAAATTGCCTCCTTAGGACTTTCAATTAGCTTCAAAGCTCTGTTATCTCATTCTGTCTGGATTTCCAAATTTATATGGCTTTCTGTTCCATATGGCTTCAGGTAGGAATATCCACATCAGTGTATAATCTTTTCGGGAGGCAACACTACTCCCCAAACTTTAACCAAACAGATTTGCCCAAACTTCTCTGAAGGTCTCTTTGTGGTAAGGTGATTATTTTCCCTAATTTCTTCACTATTCCAGGAGATTCCTGTCCTTCAAAATGACTACCTGGCATAAAAGCTAATGTATACCAAAGTACTTTCATTTATAAGCTCTTCAGGCTTCTGCTATTTTATTCCTAGTTTTATTCCTATTCGTTTCCAGAATCCTTTCGCACCAACTTAACTTCTTAAAGAGGTCTTAAATTTTTTTCATAGCCTTTATTTTGAAAACAACAGGGATATCATACTCAAGGTTTGCAAAGAATTTATGGAAGTTTCTTCTCCTAACTAAAGAACTCTTCGTCTCAATCAGAACTCAAATACAAAGGCTCTCCTGATAACCGCAAAAATCATATTGCTGGAAACTGATTAAATTCTACTGACAATGTAACCTATTCCCAGCTAAATAAAATGAATATTCTTAATGGATATTCTGTTATGAAAATAGCTTTCCTTTTGTCTTCCTTAGTAAGTATTTATTGTTTTGACAGCTCTTGGTAAGAGAAACACAGCTACATATATGGATATAATTTCTCTTCTGTTATTTCCCTTACCACCTATTTGCAATTATGTGTTACTTTATGGACCATCTGTGACACTGTTAACTTTATTTCTCCAAGTAAATGAGGTCATTTACTCCGACTCTGCTCCAGTAGCTTGAAAAGTCCCCATTAAACACCCAGGTATCTTCCTAATTAAAGTGAATACTAAACTTTTAAAAACCTATTGGAAAATTCCTCTGATGTTTGATACTGCGGGCAAATCAGCAATGCGGGCTTCTGTTTGAGCTTCTTTAAACTACAAAGACATTTTTTAGAATGTGAGCCAGGTACTTAACTGGTATAGCTCTTCCAAAGAATTCCAGAAGTAACCCTTAGCTTCTTGAATTGAAAAAAGATCTCTAATTTACATGATGAATCATAAGCTATAACTAAAACCTTATCTTAGGAAATTATCCCTGGAAGCTACTGCACATTATTTTGTTAGAAATCTAGTTTCAAAAGAAAGTATCATCTTTAATTAGAAAAAACCTTAGTGTGGATATTGAAAATAGATTCTCCCGAAAATCCTAAAGGAACAACTTCTCAACTAGTATTCTTCTATTGATTCAAATAGCCATGACCTCTGGCATAATTCTAGTTATGTTCCATGGAGCAGAGCCAATTGCTTTTGAATCACCTCTTCACTTAAAGTAATCACGAATAATGCCAGACATGTGTTTCTCTTCATGATGTTAACAAAAATTCCAGATTAAAAAAATGTGAAAAGAAAGAAGCATGATGTCTGTCTGTTTTGGAGTTGTTCCTGCAGGCGGGTCCACATTTTAGTGTTTTTGTTCCACCAGTCAGAGCCTGGTTGCTACCATCGCTGTCCTCAGTTGCTCCTCATGCTAATCCATCCATTAAACTGCCATAAAGTTATTATGCAAGCATGTTTACTTCATTGAAAAATCTTCAAATGTTTCCCATTTCTTATAGAAAAAAAGTTCGAAGTCTTCAACCTGATGGGCCAATGCTGATGTCATTTGGCTCTTTCCTGACTGAGTCTATGCCCTCCTCCTGGTACCCTAATCTCCCATCCTGTCTACACATACCCTCTCTCTCTATCTAGCCCTGGCCCCTTAACTCAACTGCTCTTATTGTCTGAAAGGCCCTGCCTGCCATAGATACCTTCAGGTACCAGTTTATATAATCCTCCACACAAAAACCCTTTTCCTCCTCCACATCACATAGCATTTATTAATGCTATACATTTATAAAACTTATTGCATAATGTTTTATAGTGGTTGTTTAAATGTGTTTCTGGCTTTGTCACTGCATCATAATCCAGAACAAGATTATTTTATATCTTCACCACACTGATAGGATCTTTTACAACTTCCTCCCAGTATCTCCCCACCCAAGCCCTAGCAAAAAGCATTGCGTATAGTTTTAAAAAATATTTTCTACTTAGTTGAATTATCATGGCATAGCTGCTTCTGATAGTAGTTTTCTATGCATAAATTTTAAAAACAGCTCAGAGTACTACTTGAATACATAAGAAATACTCAGATTCATAATAAAAGCATGTCTGTGAAGAATGTGCTTGACAAACTTTCCACTCCCACTGGTTTCCTACAAAGAGCAGAAGTTTTGCCAAAATGGTAGGAGACCTGATTGCTTGGAATAAGGTGTGCTGATGTACATAAATGCCATTTCTCTTCAATATCTGTTTTTTTAAATGCCAGTTAATATAGTTATAATGAAAATGTGTACACACACACACACACATTACCAAAAAGTATAAAAAGTAGAAAATGAAAATTAAGGCTACACAACTCTTGTCTCTCAGTCCTCCTTCCTAGAGCAACTTACCAGTTTCTTGTATATTCTTACATAGGTTATCTCTGTGTTAAGAATTGATCATAGTTTAATGTTTTCAAATTAGGACGTTTACTTGACTTGAAAGATACATTGGTTCCCCTTAGTTCATGTGATTATTAGTAAATTCCTAAAAGCCTTCAAATATTATCTGCAAAACAAGTGAGTTCTCAGAGTGATGCTCTACATCTTTGTTCTCACTGGCTATGTTCACATGTGTACAATTAAATGATCTTTGTCCTATTATAGAATCTCTATAGCAGACAAAAATAATAAAAAATTAAATTATCTATCTTTTGAATATAACAATGTAGCACTACATTATGCAATCTCTATATATTATGTTAATATTACTGTTCACAACAAAGAGAGATTATTGTCTCATTCACAAACATAGATGTAGATTGTGGTTTAAGATCACACAGCTGGCCAGTAACTGGAATGCAATTTACCATAGGTTTATCAGACTATAATTTCAAGTAGAATTTTAAATTGTGGAATGGAATTATATGTTGCTATGGGTTTTTTAAATTATATAATTCAAAGGGCTAAGTAGTTTGGGGAGGAAAATGAAAAATGTTCTGGATGAAATTATTCTCAGTATCTCACTTTCAATTTCAAAATCTCTGGAGATAAATATTATAAGAAAGTCTCTTGGAAATTCAGATACAGTAGATTTGTCCTTAAAAATTTCGGGATTGTAGGCTTGGCACAATAGTAGCATGATAGTGATTCCTTATGAACAACCAAAAATTGATTGAGTCAATAATAATACTCAGAAAGTAAAGACTATGGTACAATGCAGTTGAGTTTTTTTACTTCCAAGAGTAAGTGTCCCAGAGTCCTATATGAGATATTTTTAATCTCTTCCAATTTTTCTGTTAACATGTTGAGATATATTATTTCTGTTTTTCTGATTTGAAACTTAACATCCATAATTAATTAAGAGACAACCTAACTGAAGTTTTTCTCTTTCTTTCTCTCATTTTTATATGAGGTGATAATTAAATAATTATATAGTGATTTAATAGAAATGTAAAGAAATAAAAAGCAAGGTGATATAAATTGTTTAATCTAGTCTCAGATGTGACATGGACTAAGCCTTGGTTTATTTTTTCTTTTGTCTGTTCATTCATTCATCATATAAATAGACTAAATCTACTTAGATTATGATATAGAATAAGCCATTATTACATATTATTATTACTGTTATTATTATTTTACACTCTAGTTTCTTCATCTGTAGAAAGCATGGAGCCAGTGGAGCAATCTCCAAGGTCATCTCACGGACCAATACCCTATCTATCTATCTATCTATCTATCTATCTATCTATCTATCTATCTATCTATCATCTATCTATCTATCTATCTATCTATCTATCTATCTATCTATCTATCTATCGATGACTGAGATGGGCATCTCATTATATTGTCCAGGCTGATCTTTAATACCTAGGTTTAAGGAACCCTCCCACTTTAGCCTCCAGAGTAGTCGGGACTACAGGTGTGCACCACCATGACAGGAGATAAGAATTCTACCACTGAACCACCAATGCAAGTTCCATTCTATTTTTATATTGACAACGGGTGTTTTTAGATTCTGTACAACCTAGGACTTTTGAAAAGAAGGCAATCTGGTTAAACTAGCATATGGAGTTTCCTAGAGTATAAATAGTCTTCTTACCTTTACTGCTTCCTTGAGTTCTTAAATTGTGGTGGGGCCCGAGTTCTCTATGCTGCCTCATCACTGGTTAAAATAAGACCTCTGATATCACAGGCAATGAAGAATAGAGAGTTCAAGTGTGAAAGACAGTTCTCATCTCCCAGTTGGGCACTTTGGAGTTGTAGTAAGCGAGCTATGGTACCGCACCTCTTCTGATTATATAGAACCATCAATTTTAAATAATATCCTTCTGTTGTCGTAACACAGCATTAGAGTTTAGGGCATCATCACCTTATCTGAAAGACACCAATGACTACCAGGATTAGATCTGCTTTGTTATGGTACTTATATAGAAGGTTTTAAATATTTCACCTCAGATGCAATGGAGAGCTTCCTATAATCACCACACCCATTTAAGAATAAACTAAGAAACACTGGTGGCAAAATATGTAAAGCCTATTATAATACTATTGTAATAGTTTATTCTTCAAAACAGTTTTCATAAAGTGGTTAATTTGGAGAAGAGCTGAGATATTAATTTAAAATTTAAAAAGGATTTGACCTTCGTTTTCTGAACTGGCAAAATAGGTCCGCTAAATATATGCTAATTTAGCAAGAACTAAGACATCCATGGAAGAAACAACTTCCTTGAGAAAAAAATTAATTTGCAACACATCAAATTCTAACTAACACTGCATATTTGACACAGGCAAATTTAGGATCTTCAGGTATTTTATTTTATCTTTTATCTGTAGAGTGAATTTTCTTCCAGGCATTTATTTGGTATCATTAAATTGATAAATGGTCTTGAAGATATTTTCCACAATCATTCTGTAAACGCTGATGAAATGGCCTTTCCCAGAATGTATAGAAATGAAAGACCCTGGAATGCCAATCCAATTTCAAGATTTAATCAAAAAGAGTTACATACATTCAAAACTATAAATTCTATCTGCCAAAGACAATTTTTTTCCTTTGGATTTCCCAGTTGTCTTGATAAAAGATAACAAGTATTAAAGCTGTGCATATATAATAAACCCAAGTCAGCATGGGTGCATAATGAAATTATATTTTAAATTTAATAAATAACTACTATTCATGAAGTTACCATAACAAACTATAGAAGCTAGAAAGCTGTGTTTTTTTCTATCGTGTTTCTTCCAGTGCAGTTTGATTTTTATCAATAGGGTGTTAACATCATTTCCTTTCTAAGTGTCTATTGTTTAACTCTGGTGAAGAGGGACAGGAAAGGGGCAACATATTTATTTATATAAAGGCTTTCGTCAGGAAAATGTTTTCTTAGATACTTTATTTCTTAATTGTGAAACATTAGGTTCTTATAAAAAGAAAATTATGGTGTTTTACTTCTAATATAAAAGCATGAGTAGTTTTCTTTCTGTTCACACAGTTTGTACTTACCTCCACATCACTTTTTTTCAATTGACACATAATAATTGTGTTTATTTACTGGGTACAATGTAATGTTTCAATCTATATATACATTGTAGGAAGAGTCCATGAAACTCATTAACATATCCACTTTACATTATTTTTGATAGACACTTTTTGTTTGGGGCATTACTTTTTATCCTTTCACAAATTCCAGAATGACACTTTGATATGAGGATCACCTGAAATTGAAGAAAAGGAAAAGAAAAACAAAAATCAAATATACTCATGTTTAGTGAAGATTGACTTGTCTTCTGTAATTTGACAGTCTATTCTTAGAGCAAATCCAGCTAAAAGGGAAAGGATTAATCTTTGAGTTGATCAAAAGATTGGAGAAGGCTTGGGGTTTTACTTGGACTTAGAGGCTGGGTTAGAAAGCAGGAGAATGCAGTAATAATGAAAAAGTAATGATTCCTTAAAGTATGCTTTAATCCCTTTTTTCTTCTCATTGCTATGGGACTCTTTCAGAAATGGAGTTCAGAAAATGAGGGCAGAATATGATCTTTTGATCAGATTAAAGGTCATTTTTTCTATATGCATTTAACGGTAGTGCAGTGTGAGACGTTTCCTTGGCCATTTAGTGAATTCAAGGTTAATTCTTTAATATAATAATAATATTGAGACCTACCATGTTTTATTCACTCAACTAAGTGCTTTACTTGCATCAGTCATTTCACCCTCATAAAAGCACTGTGATGTTGGTTCTATTAGCAACCCATAACACAGGGTAAGAAACACTCAGGCTTGTCTACAATCATGCAGCTTGGATATAGACCTGCACAGTCTGACTCTAGAGACTTTACTCTTAGAAACTGCTATATTGATTGCCTACTGTAAGATGCTATTCACCAAGTGTATCTGTTCTCAGTGAACATTAATTCAAATGTATTTAGGAGAACATGATATAAAATATATACAGTCCCACCCCTACCCCCACCTCTACCTGTAAGAAAAAAAGTATTTATCACCAGGATTCCAAGTTTACATGGGTGAATAGTAGAAAGATTTTTCTGTCTTCTTCCTCAAAGTCTGGTGATGGAGAAACTACTCCATATACATATTTACTGGATTGTATGGTTTTAAAGTAATAACTCTGCAGGTTCATCTACAATAAATTTGAATAAGTTCAAGAATAATTTTTAGACAATTTTACATATGTCTGACATGAAAACCTTATTTTTATGCAAAAGCACAATTGATATCTATACATGATTACATAATGATAAATTATTTATATTGTTCCATAATGAAAAGTCCTCTGCCTTTTCATCAAGCAAACTATAACATCTGACTGACAGGTGCATGATGATTTCAATCCCTAGAGCATCCTAATAAAGTTTTCCTTTAGCTCATGGTCTCAAAGGACACTACAGGTACTCACATATTAGCCTTTTGCAAAAAGCATTATAATAAAAAGGAATAAAACAAACAAATAACCATAGGCTTCAGGATGATATGGCAGTGCTCCTATACCACATCAGACCTTACAGGCAATGGGACTGACTTGAAGCTGGTTACTTATCTTTTCTGTGTCCTCAGGTGTCAAAACATGGATACAAGTCTCCTACCTAATGTGGCAGGTAATATTAAAGAACAAATGAGATGTAAGTACAACGCTTTATGACATAAGTGGCTAGCACAATGTTCATCATAGCACAAGCTCTTAGTGAACACCAGTCTCTTGTGAAGCCCTCAAATCTTTCGGTATTCATGGCAACATATTAAATGGCTTAGTACTGTTTCTACAAAGAATGCTCTCGTTAGTGTCATAATAGAAATGTGTTTGATGAAAATATGAAAATAATATTACAAAGTCAGAGTAAGGCAGACTTGGCTCAAGTCATTCCCAGGTTTTGTATTCTTTTGAACACCTAGAAAATGCGTCCTTTACTCTCCTTCCATTGTCTTTTCCTTTTGGAATTTCATAACAGAGAAACAGTGTTTAGGTGGCTATTCCTAGCCTCAAAGGCACATGGGCAAAGATTCTATTTGAATCTTTCCTGCTTGGATATGGTGCTTATTAGGATAATGTTCCAAAAGATTAAAATTAAAGAACAGACACAGCAGAGGGGCTCTGGTGTAAGCCCTAGCCACATCATTCTTTCTCCTTGTTTATGGCCACTGAAATTTTCTTTTGCGGTTTTAAAATCCAACTTCTCCAACTTCTCATCCAACCCAAAAAGAGAAAATGTCTTGCTCAGAACCTGGAGTGTAACTCAGGTGTCCTCACTTCCAAAAGATTCTTTCTAGCCCACATACTGTTAGCAATGTCTGTATGACCCACATACAGCTGAGTGGACTTGTGGCTTGATCTCTGTACCGATTCACATTTCAGGAACCATCATTCCAATGACTTTGAATGAGAGTATATCTTTACTGTGAGTTTTCCTTTAGGGGAAGCTCAGGCTTTATAGGGCACTTAATTCAGCATGACTTCTTGCAAATCATCTGGAGACTTTATTTCCATGTCCACAGTTTAATTGCTATGACAGGAGCTAAGGTTATACACAGACCCCAAGCCTGATTCCCATGCAGGTGGGCCCCACTACTATTCTCTTCCATCCACTTCCATCTGCTCCTCACTGACTAGGGAAAAAATGTCCTCCATCATCTTATGTTAACTTACAGTTATTCCATATTTCAACTGTTTCCTACAAACTTTATTATTAAAATGAAAATTGAAATTAGGCAATTGTTTTCTCAGGCAATAATCATGGAATGGCAGGCTATTCCAATGAATAGTCAATGGAGCCACTAAAACCTCACCCTCAACCATTGTTGGTAAAGAAATACAACAAAAGAATTGGGTATAAGGATATAGTCAGGATTTCTGGGGCATTCCTCATTTGGAGTCAGTACAACTTACTGCATGTTTTCTTTATTTGTTGGTTGTCTTTTTATATGTCTGTTTCCTTTACTAGATCTTGAGAGGTTTGGGTCAGAGCTGGGTCTTGTTGCTTTGTCCCCCAGGCCTAGCATTTTACTGTGTCAATTGGCCACTCAATAAATGTTCAGGAAAGAAAAAATGGATGAACACATAAAAATGTCTATGGAAACTGATTTTTTGTAGGTATTCAGTACAAAGCAGAGCAAAAAGAAAAAGGATTACCTGAAGTAACAACCCACTAGCCCAAGATGGTGGCAGAAGGTTGAACTGAGCTGTGCTTTCGATATCTCTCTTTCCCACATCAGCTCACTCCTCCTCCTTTAAAATTCCATGCAGGGCCTGCAGTGCTGGCCGACCCCTCTCATTTGCTATCTGGGAACACAGTGGCAGCTTTCCTCTTAGGTCTATTGTTAGAGTCAGCAGTGGCTGACAGATCCCATCTGCCTGACTCAGGGCTGTAATCCCCTTTGCTGGGCTCTCAGCTGTGAGGACACTTCTCAGCGAGCCTGGCTAGGGAGCAATCATACCCTCTCTTCTCAGCTGCCTGGTTCCTGGAAAGCACACCGGATTTCTATCAGCTTTCTGAATAAATAGCTAATCTACCAGGCCAGCAAATTCTTTAGGTTTTGCATACCATACAGCGTTAAAAGTAGCATAAATCTGTGTCTCCCTAACCTGATCTTCCCCTCCTTGACCTCTGGCATCACCAAGGAACACAGGCTTTTTCTCTGCACTGATAGCTGCCAGCTGTGCAAAGGAGATAAATTAGCAGCTGCCCCAGCCAAAGGCTTAATGAGGGTAAGAGCATATTGACAAGAAGGGTTGTGGCTGTAGCACCTAGATTGCAAATCCAGTTTTGAAATCACAAAGGTACCCTAATACCATAAACAGACACTGTAAACTTTTTGAAAATTCCATCTCCCTTATCTGATTGAGACTGATCATTGAGACTGATCTCAACAGCTAAATGGCAATGCATTTTAAATGTAACAGGAGGCAAATCTAGATACTTTATAGAATATAAGCACAAGAAAAGAATTGGGGGAAAAAATATCTCCCTACTGCCTTATCTCACTTATAGAGTGTTTAGAAAAAGTAGCATGATTTCCAAGGAAAAAATTTAGCTGACAGAGTGGCTAGTGGATAGTTCTATGGCTTTTAATATTTTTGGGCCACATGTCAGTTTTTAAATTAAATGAAATACATTTATTTTAAAGTTAAGTAAAGTTGGAATCAAGATAATACTGATAAACACAACAAAATAACTCTCAGTGCTCTCAAAATTGCTTTTCACAAATATCAAAGTAAAAGTGTGATGGCACATTGAATAAACTAATATGAATTTATAACATTTTACACCCAAATAGTCTCCTTTTATAGATGAAGGGCTAACAGCTGCATATTTACATTGTGCTGTGCACTGAAGTGATTGCAAGGGCTTCTCTGGATACAGAGTGGACATTCCCAGGTCCCATGGGAATTTCCAAGAAACAGTTTCTCTTCCTTATGTTTTCCTTTTTTCCTAATCTAAAATTAACAATGTCATATTTTTATACAAAGGCAGTGGTTCAATGAGTTAGCAGTTACTTACATCCAAAGAAAACTGTGATTGAATTAAATACAACATATAGCCATTACTGAAGGGAAAGAATCCAAAAGCCAATCATTTTTAACACCAGTAGGATTGCATCAGGTACTAGTCCAGACTGGTTTTTAATCACCTGCTATGGTTTATATTCACTTAGCAAGTATATCACTTTTCCTAATAAGTGCATAAAACATCAAATGTACAGCATAAAGAAAACATATCTAATTGAAAATGAAATTCATAAAAACCAAAGGTTTTTTTAAAAGGTTAGTTCAAAGAAATTGTGATCATTTTATGTTTTTCTAGAACTCCTTGGATGTAGAGGTCATTTGTAAGAGTAACTTTGTACCATATTCAGTGAACATGAATAAAAAGAAAGAATCTTGGTTTGTATTCATTATAGGTCATTGTATAATTTGGAAAACTGCTAGTTTTTGGCACAACAGGAAAACGAGTATTACAGTCTTGAATAAAATTCATGGAAATAGTCTCAAGATATTAAATTGCCTATAAAGCTCTTATATAGTATTAATAGAAAGTACCAAAATGCCAAATAACATCAAAGAAATGTGTATATGATTTCTCTCCATCTAAAAGTCTAAAATAGATGCACCTAATGAGTGCCAGAATTTTTTCATTTAATGGTGGTTATTTTTCACATTAACTTAAAATTCTTAGCTCTCATTTTTGGGACTTTTCATC